GAATGTTGACAATGACATCTTACGAATCTTATGAATTTTTATTGAACCGTGTTGCCATAGTGACACAGTTTTTTTTAACAACTTTATTTAAGGCATTTTCAGTTATAGAGACAAAGGTTAACATACATACATACACAAACATATCAATTCTCATGGACATAATCCCGTACTAGTACCCTTCATTCCTCCCTCCGCACATACCCTCCCTTGGGACCAAGAGTACAAGAAAAAAAACAAAAAAACAAAACAAAGATCCAATGCTGCATAAGTGTACCATCAATGGGCTTGTCAGACAGGTTGACAAGAGAAAGTACCAAGATAACATGATTGGTTAGAGATTTAACTTCTTTACATATTCAATAAAGGGAGACCACACTCTGGCATATGTGTCACAAGAGCCGTTCAGAGTATGTCTTATCTTTTCTAACTGAAGTAGAGATAGAACCTCCTGAATCCATCTCCTGAAGGGCGGGCTTTTGCTAGATTTCCAATTCATTAAACTCACCCTGCGAGTTGTAAGGCTACAGAATGCTATTGCTCTTTTTTGTGTATTAGCGGTACATCTTTCTGAGGGTGTGACTCCAAATAAAGCAGTGAGTGGATTGGGTTTGAGGGGTGTGTTGCATAGAACTGATAGACAGTTGAAAATGGAGGACCAGAAATCAACTAAGGAGTGGCAGGACCAGAACATATGGCCCAGTGACACTTGGTTCCCACACCTGGGACTGGTAGGGAGAACAGACGAGTATATTTTAGCTAGCCTATCATTGGAGTAATGTAACCGATGGAATACTTTGAATTGTATCAGCCCGTGCCTAAATATAGAGGAGGTGTGTATGTTGGAGATACATTTAGCCCAGACATCGTCCAGTATCACAGTTTCCAGATCCTGTTCCCATGCTTCACGCATTTTAGTGTGCGATGGGGGATCGATATTGTGTATTATATTATATGCCTTGGAGGTCAGATCCCTGTTCCATGGATTTAGATTTAATAAATCATACACAGAATCTTTGTTTGGTGGCTTGGGGTAAGTAGGGAAATGTTTGGAGGCGAAACTGTGCTTGGAGATATCTGAAGAAGTGAGATCTTGGGATATTATGGTCTTTTACTAGGGCTTCGAAGGACAGAAAGGAACTCTCATCAAACAAATTGTCAAAGAAAACCAGTCCGTGTCGATGCCAACCAGCGAAATTCAGATCCGTCTGCGAGGGTGTGAAGAGTATGGTTGAAAGAAAGAGGGGAAAGGCTATTCATCTGATCAAGGTTAAAATGCTTACGAAATTGTACCCAAATTCTAATGGAAATAGACCACAGGATTAGAAAAAGTCTTGATGCATGTGATGAAAGCGCCATCATCGCCCAGGCAGGCCCATTTTTGTCAGAGAAAGACATCACCCAAAATGTCAATTTGGAAATATTTGATGCTGATTTAATTTTGTTTCCTCACAGAAATGAATGAAATGCTGAGATATAGGCCTATATTTTTTTTAAAGTTGTCTTACAGCCCATGAAGCTTTGGCGACCCCCAGGTTGGGAACCAGTGTTGTACATAAATATGTGTGAATATATAGGGGTAATTTTAATAATCAACAAAACATTGTTAGATAAACATTTGGACCAAGAGTGTTAGTTAGTTAAAGAGTTAACTGCCTATTTAGTTTGTTTCATTCTCTGAATGAATTCAAAACACAATCAAACT